CCTCGTCCTCGTTGTCCTCAACCTCCTCCCCCTCCTCCTCTTTCTCGTCGCCGTGGTCGTCGTCGTCGTCTTCTTCTTCTTCCTCCTCCTCCTTCTCCCTCGCCCCCACGCGGGCCCTAGGGAAGGCCCGGGAGAGGCCCTCCAAGGCCACCCCCTTGCTCTCAGAGATCTTTCCATTCACCCTGTTTGCCCGCTTTGTCTCACTACATGTGTCTCTTCGTCCCTTTTCCCGTCAACGCTCATGGGCAGGTTTGTTACATGGGCTTGTGGGGATATTTCTTTGATCGCGAGCGCATCGGAAATGCCGAACGCCGTCCAAAAGTCGTAACAAACAAACTGCGGCCCAAATTGCGCAACCAGAAGGGGGAAGAGAGGCAACGAGAGAACAGCGGAAGGAGAGGCAAGCATGAGGCGGCCCAAGCTGCCGCTCAGAGAAAATGCGCCTTCGCCTGGGGAGGGAGCCGCCAGCCGGTATGCATCGCCAAAATGGCGGAGGGGGGGAATTCAGGATGTTCTCTCGGACCCCCCGGAAAACATGTCTTAGGGCTCATTGCCCGAGCCCTGGTCCCAACAAAAAACTCCGAGCATTGTTTAGGGAACGGACCAGCGGTTTGCCACCGCTGGAACCCCTCAAACACTCCCCAGAAGGGGGGCGGGGTTATGTGAGGCTGGCACCCGGATACACCCCCCCGACAAAAACGTTCCAACGGATTGGCATGCGTTTCTCCCTGGACCCCATACAGTCACACAGCCATCAGAGACGAGGGGGGCGCCTGCAAGGTTTTTATCTCCCGAGCCCCGCGAGGGATTGCCTGGGGGGAGTCCAGGAGGGCACCCTCTCGACCCTCTCGCAAACCGCCATGAGGGGGTCTTCCTGGGGGAATTGAAACTTGTTCTTTAATGCGGGATGACGATTAAAAGCAGAATGGGATGGAACGATTAAAAAATATGGTTTTCTGTCATTTCTGTACAATTTTCTGACTGGAAGAGAACGATTCAGAAGAATAGTTTTCCAGCCCGCGGCCGGCTTTTTCTGATCGTCATCCCGGGCGCCGCCGCGTGAACACGACCCTCGGTCATTTCTTAATCGTCATCCTCCATTACAATGGAGTTTAGTCCACTAGAAACCGTCCACAAGAAACCCAACCCTGAGACCCCAGGACACCCATTGCTTTTTTCGCGTGGGAACGTCACGCTGTCCAGTAGCAAAACCATCGACACCCAAGAAACCCAGGGCACCCTGGAGGCAAGCAGGGTGTTTCTTGGCATGGGCCCCCACTCTATCCTGGGCCTCCTTGAAAGCCTTCCTGCGGGGGCGGGCTCATCCACTTTCGGAGGTCCGCGCGGGCGCGCCAGGGGCGGCGCCCGAGGCGACGCCAGGGGGGCTCAGCGCAGACCCAAGACACCCTTGCGGCGCTCCGCGGCATGCTTCTGCCACGCTTCTTCTCCGAAGGTTGCACCCGATAACTCTCTGGCTATGACTTGGCGGCGAGCGCGGGGGAGAAGTGAGAAGGGTCGGGCCTTCTGAGAAGCGTTAGAAAAACCTCCCCCCAAGCCGCAGAACACTTCTCAGAAGGCGCGAGGGCTCCAGGAGACGCCCCGTGGCCTCCTGGCGGCAGGCCTCCTCCTTCTCGTCTCCCTCCCCTCGCTCGCCGCCGGATGACACGGACCCCTGGAAGCAGAGCTTGAAGACGAACATCGGGTCGGCCGAAAGGGGGGGATAGCAAAGGGGGGGGGTGAGAATCAGCTCACGTAGCTGATTTTCCCGGCGCCTCCCGACGCCAGAGGCGGCTATGTATCGAGGAAAGGGCCCCTCGGTGAGGCCGAAATCAGCTGCATGCAGCAAATTTCGTAACCCCCCCTTTCCCAATCCCCCCCTTTCGCCCGGCCCGAGAACACCTGGGCGGAAGCAAAGAGACGAGAAACAAAAAAAGATGAAGCTCGCCGACGGCCTGGGTCTCCGCGAGGAGGCCTCCTGCAGAGCCCACCCCCCCTTGGGGGGGAACACTTCACGGGGGGGAGGGCCGGCCCAGAGGGCGGCGGCGCGCTCCGGGCTGGGATATCGGCGGTGCGTCGCCCGCAGATCGGCGATGGGCCCCCGACGGCAAAGGCGAGCGCCCCCTGCTTTTTTTCTCGCGCAGCACATCCGCAACACGAAGGATTTAGGTCTGGCATGTCCCCCTACAGGCGGATTTCAGACGAAAAGCTAACAAATTGCCGAAAACAGAAAAAATCAAAATGGTCAAGCATAGTCGAAACATTGTCCCCAGGCTATTTCTGCACTATTTTGGAGTATTCCTCCTGCAGAGGGACAGGCGCGACTTAAGACGATAGATCCAAAGTGACAGGCTGGACCCGACAACGGAACACAGACTCCGATGATTGGCGGATGGGCCGGCAAAAGCCCCTGGGCGGGGTGGGCTGTGGGGCCCCCCGCTGGGTGGTGCACGGGCGATGTTGGCGTCGATTCGTTCCGCCCGGAGCCTATACGCCACCCATTTGTAGGGGGCCACATGCGAGCCCTACCCCATACCCCCCACGACTTCTGAGGGGGAGTGTGGGGTTCACTTCGCTCGGGAGCTCCCGAAGGAAGTGAACCGCACCCTCCCCCTCAGAAATCGTGGGGGGTAGGGGTAGGGCTCGCACGTGCCCCCCTAATTTAACAAGTGGCACGCGTGCCCTGGCTCTCGCACAGAGCAGCCGCGAGGGACGGGAGGCTTTCGCCTCCTTCCTCGCGGGGCTTCCGTCTGTGGCTGGGGGGGAGACGAGCGACGAACGAATGATGACGACGACGACGAGCGAAAATCAGGAGGTCCGAGGTATGTTCTAAGAACAAAAACAACGTTCTTAGAACACAAACCCAATGGGTTAGAACAAGACAGTCCCAGCCACAAATGTTCTAAGAACATGTCGTGGAAACCACGAAAGGTTCGTGGAACACTGTTTGGTAGGCCTGCAGGCACGCCAGGACGCTTCGCCACTGCTTGATACCCCCCCCCCATTCCTTCACGATGCCCGGGACCCTCCGCTCCCTGGCTTCCGGGCCATGCCTCGGCCTCCGCGGCGGCCCTGCCGGACGAGGCAGGGCCCACCCCGCACGCCCTCGACGGGGCGCAGCGGATGGAGACCACCCCCGACCTCACAGACCCGCGAGGCGGGGATTTATCCGTATCCACCGCCTGGGAAACGACGTCCTGGTCCCCCAGCGGGCGGCGGATATGTATACAGTTTGGCCCCCGGGGGCCCGAATCTATCCGTATCCACCGCCCGCGAGGTCCCCGAATAGTTGATCCTCCAGGCGGTGGTCATGTGTAAATTCCCGCCTCGGAAAACTGTCCGAGTGACATGCGGTGCGGTCGGGAACTTTTGCTCAGCGTGTCGCGGCGGCGGCCCCGGCGACACGCTGTGCCATGCGGGCGGGTAACGTGGCGCTCCGTTCCGCGGGGCAGGACCTTGCTCAGGACATTGACGGGTACAGGCCGGGACGTGGATAGCGTGTCGCGCCGACGCGTGCTGGGTCAGAACCGGCGGAGGGAGACGCTAACCAAAAGTTCTGACCGTGACTTCCTGCCTACTTAGCTGTCTGTGGACCTCCGCGGCCCAATCATACACGTCATGTCGATTGGATGTTGTCGTTGGAACACCTCGCTTCACCCTTTCGTCGGGAATACGTCCAGATTCCAGATGTTGACCAAAACCGACAAAATCCACACAACCCCTCCCAAACCGACGGGGATTCTGGTAGCGTCTAAGGCCCTTCATGGTAACACACACGTATGGTGAGGGGAGGCAGGAAGGAAGCAGAAGGGGAGCAGGGAGGGGAGGAGGGAGGAGGAGGAGGGAAGAGGAGGGAGGAGGAGGAGGGAGGAGAGGAGGAGGAGGAGGAGGAGAGGGGAGAAGGAGAGGAGGGGAGAAGGCAGGAGAGGGAGGGCCTCCCTCCTCTCCTCCCCTCCTCCGCGGCCGTGTCCTCGCCAGGAGTCGAGATCTCCTCGGGCCGCTGTCGCGCGCGGGGCTGCGCCGCCGCCGGCGCCGCCGCCGGCCGCGCCGGCTGCGGTGTCGTGGCGGCCGGCTGCGGCGCCAGCGCCGTGGCCGCCGCCGCCGCCGGCGCGGCCAGCGTGGCCACGCGCGAGGCGGCCAGGGCCGCTGCCTGGCGCCGCTGCCGTCGCTGCAGGCGCCGTCGCCGTGCGTCGTCGCCGTCGCAGGCGGCGCCTGCGCATGGCGTCGCTGGCGCCGTTGCCGTCGCCGGCGGCGTCGGCGCCGTCACCGTCGCCGGCGGCATCGTCGGCGCCGTCGGCGACCTCGTCGGCGTCGGCGTCGGCGTCAGCGGTGCTAGCGTCGTCGGCGTCGCAGTCGGCGTCGCCGTCGGCGTCGCTGCACATGCATAATTAGTGCGGGCTTCGAGCTTCTTGCCGCTGAGCGGCACCCAGACCCGTGCTGGCCCGGCATGCGCCTCCACCAGCGAGTGTCGTGGCGGACCCAGCCGTGGCGGCGACCAGCCCCAGGAGGCCTGGAGCAGGCAGAAGCCACAGCAACCACCTCGGTCCTCGATGTTCGATCCCCGTCCCCGGGGGCTTTCGGGCCACAACTTGGCCGAGGAGCAGGAGCAGGAGGAGGAGGAGGAGGACGAGGAGGAGGAGGAGGAGGAGGGGGAGGAGGAGGAGGCGGACGGGGAGGAGGATGAGGAGAAGGAGGAGGAGGAGGAGGAGGAGGAAGAGGAGGAGGAGGAGGAGGAGGAGCAGGGGATGGAGGAGGTGGGGGAGGAGGAGGAGGAGGGAGGAGAGGAGGAGGAGAGGAGGAGGAGGAGGAGGAGGAGGCGGCCGCTCGGGACGAACCAGCCACAGACGCCCCTCGGCGAGGCGCCGCCGCTGGATGACGCACTCAGAGGCTGTGGAGAGCCGCCTTCAGAGCCGACGAGACCGCCCTCGAAAACCTCCATCCTCGAGCGTCGGAGGTGCGACGGGGAACCCTCGCCCGCGCCGCGGCGGGGGCGCTCTCCGCGCCTGGGCCGTCGTGCCGGCCGTCTGGCGCGCCATGGCCTCGGCCCAGGCGCGCTGCTGCGCGAGCACCTGCCGTCAGGGCCGACGTCGTCGTCGTGGTCGTCGTCGGCGTTGTCGTCTCCTCCTCCTCCTCCTCCTCCTCCTCCTCCTCCTCCTCCTTCCCTCCCTCGCCCCCTTGTTCTCGACCTCGTCCTCGTTCTCGTCCTCGTTCTCGTCCTCGTCTTCGACTTCGTCCTCCTCGTCCTCCTCCTCGTCCTCCCCCTCGTCCTCCTACTCCTCCTTCTCCTCCTCCCTCTCTCTCTTGCTCCTCCTTCTACTCTTGCTGCTGCTGTTGCTGCGGCTCATCCTTTTCCTCCTCCTCCTCCTTATCCTCCTCACCCTCATCCTCCTCTTCCTCCTCCTTCTCCTCATCCATATCCTCCTCCTCCTCTTCTTCCTCCTCCTCTCCCCCCTCCTGATCCTCCTCCTGCTGATCCTCCTCCTCGTCCGTCCTCTCCTCCTCCTCCTCCTCCTGGTCCTCCTCCTCCTCCTCCTCCTCCTCCGTTCCTCCTTTTCCTCCTCCTCCACCTCTTCGTCCTCGTCCTCCTCCTCCTCCTCCTCCTCCTCCTGATCATCATCATCATCATCATCATCATCATCATCATCATCATCATCATCATCATCATCATCATCATCATCATCATCAGCAGCATCAGCATCAGCATCATCATCATCATCATCATCATCATCATCATCATCATCATCATCATCATCCTTCTCCTCCATATCTTCGTCCTCCTCCTCCAGATCCTCCTCCGCCTCCTCCTCCTCCTGTTCCTCCTCCTCATCAGCATAATCCTCCTCCTCCTCTTCCTGCGCCTCCTCCTCCTCCTCCTACTCCTCCTCCTCTTGTTCCCTCCTCGTCCGTCGATCCGTCCGTCCGTCCGCCCGCCCTCCTCCGCCGCCTCGCTTCACGGGCCATCTGGCCGCTGCCGCTGGGCTCGGAGAACGGCGTCGAAGAACCCCGAGCTGGGCTCTACTGTCGAGAGAAAGGCGCGTGCGCGCATGCACGGATGCACGGCCAGCGCCGGAAGCCCTCGGGCGGGCGGGGAGCACACAGTCTGCGTTTCGCCTCGGGGTGGAGGCGAAGACCAAGACGAAGCCGGGACGAGGACAGGTTCGGGTGAGGGGAATTAATGGAAAATCTCTGAAGATACGGGGGCTCTGGAGGCTGCCTCGGGCGCCGCGGCCTTCCCAGAGCGCTCCGGAATGCTCTGAGCTCTGAGAGCGTTCCGGAACTCTCTGGAACGGATTTGTCCTCGCCCTAGCCCGGTCCAGAAGACCCTCGTCCGAAGATTGATAGAACACCCTTTAGTAAAACGCGCTTTCGTGAAACTTGCCAGGTGCACTCCGCGCGCGCGCGGCACCGCACTCCGACTGGACCCTAGCGAGGCAGCTACCCGACGTCCAAAGCAGCCGACTGTACCTGCCGAGGCGCACGTCGACAGGCGAAACTGACTGGGGACTGCACCGGCACATTTTTTCGTTGGCGGCGAGGCAGAATGGCTGCACCAGCGATGGAGCTAAACGGGGGCACCGAAAAGCGAATTGGCCAGCATGCAGGAGGAGGAAGAGGACGGACAGGGCGGCCGCGGAGGGAGGCAAAAAACGGGGCCACTCAGAGGCGGAAGATTTCCGTCCCGGGTGAGCTGGCGCGGCCGGCCCCGTCAGCGGAGACCATGGCAGCAGCTGGGCCGCAGCGCCAAGGGACCGCACCGGCACGCTCGCATGCCAATGCCGAGGGAATCCGTGCCGATCTCATCGGTGGACTGGTCTGGGGGGGCACTCTGCCTCGATGCACGAGGAGCGCCCGTGGAAGGCCCATCGAAGAACCTTGGGGACCTCGGGGCCCTGCCGATGCGGGCAAGAACGGTATCCATGTCCAGCGCGTCTTGGATTGTCCTGCAAGGGGCGACACAAGGCCGAGGCACACTTGATATGGACAAACATCAAGCCTCCGGGGGGCAGACTTGACCTCGGGTTTCCGGTGCTCTCCAATCTGCAAAGGATATTTGGACAAAAAGTCTTCCACGAAGCCGAGGATCCAAGAGTCGTGGATGCCTTGACAATGGACAGCCTAACAATCCGATAACTGAATCAAACTTGTGGTCAACATGTTTGAAAGATGTTCGTTGAGGAGATGATTGAAACATGTTTAGACATCTGGGAAGTACTTGGCAACATGCTTCCTCCTCATTTACCGTCGTCCACATGGCATGGGGAGGGTGCACTGTGGCATCGCAGGCGCATCTGTGGCTCACCCTGGTCATCCTCGTCCTCCATGTGGTGCTGGCTCTTCGTCGGCTTCTCCCTCCTCCTCCTGCTTCTCATCCTCGTTTCCCTACACGTCGTTCATTTCTAATCATGCTCATTTCTAATTCTGCTCGTTTCTAGCTCTTCCCGCCCCACAGTGGCCAGGAAGAGGCCCAGGATAGAACGATTAGAAATGACAGGACCTTGGCCCCCCAGAAAATCAGAGAACCCTCGAATAATTAGAACTGAGCAATGTGTACTCATCCTCTTCCTCGTTCCCCCCACACGGCATCCGGTCGTCGCCCACAACCCGAGAGGCGATGGGCATGCTATCCACAACCACCACCAGAAGTTGGATGGGGGGAAGGAGGTGCAGGACGAGGAGGAGGAGGAGGAGGAGGAGGAGGAGGAGGAGGAGGACCCTTCCCCCTCCAACTTGTGGTGGTGGTGGTGGTGGACAACAGGCCCATCAAGAGGGCCTCCCCCCCAAAAAAATCTCAGGCCTCTGCCAGCGCACCTCGCGGCCACGGCCTCGCGGCCCGGGCCTCGCGCTCGGGCCGCGGCGGCCCCGCACGGCCACGGGGCCGGGCTCTGCGCGGACGCGCCCCCCGGAGCCCCGCAGCGGTGCGGCGACGGGCCGTGCGGTGACCTCAGCGTCCCCCAAGACCCTCACCGCACGGTCCGTCACCGCACGGTTCTTGGGGGCCCTGCGAGCCCCCTGTCGCCCGAGGCGTCCTCGGAGAGGGGCTCCCGAGGCCCAAGACCGCGCGGCGGCCCCGGAGCCCCAGCGACTCACCGCACGGTGTGGTCACCACACCGTTTGGGGGCCCCCGGATCTCCCCCGCGCGGGGCGCATCTGGGGGGCGGCGCCCGGAGTTCGGCGGCGAGCGCAGGGGGGAGGCGAGAAGTAGATCGGGCGTGTCCTCCTGCAGGCGGATGGTGCGCGAAAAACCACAAAGAAGCGACCAAAAGATGCCCAAACAAAAACAAAAGCATCGTCCCCAGACTTTGTGGTGACCATTCTTGGATATTCCTCCTGTAGAGGGAAATGCCCGACTGAAAGCGAGAAGGAGAAGGCCTACTCAGCAGGCGGCGGGACTCCTCAGAAGCCCTCGCGCCTTCTGCGAAGGCCCCTGTGCCCGCGGGGAAGGCCTGGAACCTCGGAAACTTCTCAGAAGGCCGGGGGACTTCCGAGCCTTCTAAGAAGGCCCGCCCCTTCTCACCGACCCCCCCAGGCTCGCCGCCGACAGGTGCACGGAACCGCGAGGGCATGGACACGAATTCTGTGGCAAGTCGTGAGGACGTCCCAGCCCCTCTTGCTGGCTCTTGCGAATCGATGCTTTGGCGGCGCGCACACGGGGTTGGAGGGAGGGGGAAGGGCTTCTTAGAAGGAGGCTACTTCTTAGAAGGCGCCGGCCTTACATCTACAAAGAAGGCCCGCGCCTTCTAAGAAGCAGGGGTGCTTCTAAGAAGCCTTCCCCTCTCCCCCTACCCCTTCTGCGCGTTGCCAGACATCGGCGCTCATCGACGCTGAAGCGGTACCGTACGCTATAGCGCACGCTGCTCCATCCACGAGGCGCAGCTGCGAGGACATGCGGAAGGCCCCCACGTGTGGCCACCGAAGACCACAGGAGGTGCCAGTTGCGCGTAACTGAAAAGGAACTGGGACACACAAATAAATAGACACAAATAACCAGACTCCCCATATTTTCCTATATTTTCTGGGTTTCTGTCTTCCCCCCCCCACTTCCCATGGTTTCCCATATTTTCGAGGGAATCGACGATCAACTGTGTCTGTGTGCTTTTGTTCCCCTCCTGAGTAACCCTCGCCCTTGCCTGTCGGGTCGGACGAAGCGGCGGCGGGGCGAGGAACGCGGGGGGGGGGGGGAAGCGAGTCAGCACGCGCAGCTGACATCTCCCGCGCCTCCCAGCGCCGAAGGCACCAGCGCATCGAGGCGAGCGCCCGGCGGCGGGGCGGAGACCAGCTGCCCGCCACGGATGTCCTTCGCACCACTCGCTCGTCCGACCCGAGCATGGGCCTGCTCGGCCACCGCCAAAGCACGGGACGCGGTCAGCGGGTCGCGCCGACGCGTCTGTGGGGCAAGGTCGTCGGCGCGACGCGCTGAGCAAAATGTTCCTGTCGGGGGCGGCCGCGTCCAAGAGGGGGGGGGGGCACAAATCATGGCCCGCGGCACTTGCGCGGCCCAGGGGGGGGGGGGGAACGTGATGAAATGAGAAGAGGCGCCATGAGATCTGGGGAGCAATCATGACCCCCCTAGTCACCACACCCCTCTTCCCGACCCTCAGCAAGGGATCCTCGTCGTCTGGTTTCCGGGTCATAACTCAGGCCTCCAGCAATCGTTCGGGAAGACCCGGGCCCCCCCAGACGCCTCACGGCGAGGCGCAGCCGCTGGAACGCATCACGAGGCTGCCATAGCGTGAGAAACTCTTCGGACCACACAGGAGCTCCCAAACTTAGCCACCTACGGTCGGGAACTTGTTCTTAGCATGTCTCAGCAGCGACCCCGGCGACAAGCTATGCCCTGCGAGCGGATAGCGTGCCGCTCCGCTCCAAGGAGCGGGAGGCTCGGAAAGGCTCGGGACGTAAACGTTCGGGGACTGGGACGTGGATAGCGTGTCGCTCGGAAGCGTGGTGGGCCAGAACCGGCGGAGCACCACGCTGAGCCAAAGTTCCTGATCGTACACCCCACGCGGGCGCCCACAGAACCCCGCCCAGCCAACTGACACCACTGCTCGAGAAATCCTTTGGATCGACCAGAAGCTCCCGCACCTGGCCACCCAAAGCCCCAACTCCCGCACACCCTACCCCACCCCACGCAAGGGCCTGCTCGGCTACCGCCCTCTGCCGGGTGGCGTCGGCGCCGCTCTGGGGCTGCTGCGGAGGCTGCTGGGGCTGGGCGGGGTTCAGGGGCAGAGCCCCAGCCTGCCGATGTGGCTTCGCGACGACGACGGTCATCGTCGCCGTCATTGTCGTCGTCCTCGTCGTCGTCGTCGTCGTTCTCCTCCTCCTCTTCCTCCTCCTCCTCCTCCACAATTACTCATGCTCTCGCTGAGGCGCCGGCCTCATTTTCGGGCCCCGCTCGTTCCGAATCGTGCTCCCGCTGCAGCGCTGGCCTAATTTCCGTGCTTCCGCTCGTTCCGATTCGTGCTCCCGCTGCAGCGTTGGCCTCATTTCCGCGCTTCCGCTCGTTCCGAATCGTGCTCCCGCTGCAGCGCTGGCGTCATTTGCCGTGCCATGCCACGGCATACAATGCAATGCTAGGTTGCGTTCCGCTGCGCGATGCCATGCCTTCAGCTGAAGCTGTGATATGCAGTGCTTCAGTGCCACGTCGTGCTATGCCATGCTACGTTTTGATCTTCAACGCCATGCTGTGCAATGTTATGTTCGGGGCCGCTGTGCGATGCCATGCTTTGCGTTGCAAAGCTGTGTAATGCAATTCTTCACTACGCCACGCCACACCATGCTGTGACATACTACGCTTTGCGGTCCTCTTCTACGCCATGCCATGCCGTGCTCTACAATGCATCGCGTACCCATTCGGGATCATTGCCCTGCTCGACATCCGATTGTGCGAGTAGAGAGGGGATCTACGACATGGTAAGGGATGGGAGGGAGGGGTAGGATGTCAGATATGACGCGAGCGCGCCTAGCTTGTCTTCTTCCCCCTCCTCCTCCTCCTTCTCCTTCTCCTTCTCCTCCTCCTCCTGCTCCTTCTCTTCCGCCATTCCCTTTCCCTTCCCTTCCCTTCTACTCCCCTGTCCCTTCCCTTCCCTTCCTGTCCCTTCCCCTCCCCCTCCCTTCTTCCTCCTCCTCCTCCTCCTCCTCCTCCTCATCGCTCCCTTCCTCCTGCTGATGCCGCGGTCGCAACGGCGCGGGGGATCGAGGTTCGAGGCCCGACGTTTTCGGCTGCTGTCCGCCCCCTTTGCTTTGTCCTTCGCTCGCAGGACCCTCCCGAGGCCTCTGCGAGGCAAGAGGTAGTCCCAGGGCACCTCCAAAGGCTTTGGGGCCCCCCAAAGGCCTCCACACACTCACACGCAGGTGCACACGCACAAGTCGCGAGGGGACTCTGGTGGGCATCGGCTGCGAGCCTCCAGAGGGGTCAGGCTGCGCGCAGGCAGCGGCAGGAGGAGAGACAACAAGGGGGAGAACAGACACGGAGGAGGGGGGATAAGGGATACTTTGAGGATGAAGAGCGGGATAGGGTGAATGGAAAATGGAGGAGAAGAAAGACATGGAGGAAGATGACAACGACGAAGGTATGACAACGACGAAGAGGAGGTGCAGGAAGATGCGGAGAAGTGATGGAGGACGAGGATGAGGAAGGATGAGGAGTCCGCTTGCCCGCTTGGCCGCGGACTTCTCCTTGTCATCCCCGCCCTCCTCAGCATCCCCCCCTTTCCTCCTCACGCTGCTCCTCCTCCACCTCCTCCTCCAGCCCTTCGGCCTGCCGCTCTTCCTCTCCATCCCCCTCCCCCCTCCCCCAACCCCAACCAAACACCACCCAACCAATCTGGGCAGACCCAGCCGATCCACCCACCTCCTCCCTGCCGAGCCGCCTCGTTCTCCTCCTGCTCGCACTGCCTCTCGCTTCGCCTCCTCGGCCTCCTCCGCCTGGCCCCCCCGCGCGGCCTCCTGGGGCCACACGAGATCCCCGACGTTTCGATTTGCTTCATGGTGTGGCACCCAGGACTGCCGACCCCGTCCCCGAAACCGGCCTCTCGTGGCTGGCGAATTGTCTAGTAGAGAGGCAGGAACTTATTGTATCAATGGTTGCTCGTCGCTAGTTGGATAATTCCTCGTAACTGCGAGACCTGGGAGACCCGGGAGCGAAACGGAACACAAACAGCAACTGCAACAGGCAGCGTCGGAACGAGCAGGGACGGTCAAATTCTGAGGTGCATGACATGAACACGTGTTGGAAGAACACGGCGCGGGCGGGCCAGGGGGCGGTAAGATGGCCGAATGTACCTAACTTGGACGAGGCGGGGGGAAACAACGGAGCCGAACACGGAAACAGAACGCGACAGCCCGCAACGGCAAGAGCTAGATCAACAACAACACCCGGCAACAACATGCAACACCACCAATGACGCCCTGGCCGGTGTGAAGAGACAGCTGGACCTGGCAGGTCTGGGCTCACGGGCCCTCTTCGGTGCCCCCCATCGAGGAGGAATCCCCGCGCGGCCGCAGAGGCCTGCCGCGGCGGCCCCGGGGCGGTCGAAGCCGAGGACGACGACGCCGACGCCGACGCCGACGCCGACACCGACGAGGACAAAGGCGACGACGACCACCACGACGACGACGACCACCACCACCACCACCACGACTACGACGACAGCGACGCCAGCGAGGGCGACGATCACGCCTGCGACGACTGCGGCGGCGGCGACGTCTTGGCCACACGCGAGTGGCCCCCCGGCAGGAGCCCGGGTGTTGCCAGAAGAGCCCCTGGCCCAAGGTGCCCCCAGGATCCCCTGGGAGGCAACCACGGCCTCGAGAGCACCCCATCACAAGGTCCAGAGGGCCTCAGGCGCTTCAACACAGAGGCACTGCCAGCAACACTCCGAGGAGTGGCCCCTGGTGCCGCGGCGCGCGGCGCGACTGCAGCGGCCTCGGCGCGCTCTCGCTCGGAGCCGCCGCGCCCCCCCCCCCCCACCCGAGGGCCGCGGACCCCCCGGGGGCCCCTGCGGCGAAGGGCCGCGTCATGCGCGCGCCGCCAAAGCCCTGGCGCCGTCGCCGCTCTCGGGCAAAGAGGCCACGCGCGGCGGCGGGGGGCCTGCTGCGGCTGGGGGAGGGCGCCCATGGCGGCCATGGCGGGCGCGTACGCGGCCATGGAGGCCGCGTACGCCTGGTGGGCTTGCAGCTGCGGCCAGGGCGCGCATCCTGGCGGGGAGAGGGGGGGGTCGTCGTCGTCGTCGTCGTCGTCGTCGTCGTCGTCGTCGTCGTCGTCGTCGTCGTCGTCGTCGTCGTCGCCGTCTGGCGCTTCGGGTCCCTGAGGCCCCATAACTTGCCTAAGAGAAGGCCGTCGTCGCCGTCGCGGCCGCCACCGCCGTGGCAGTCGTCGTGGGTGTGGTCTCATCGGCCTAGGAGGGAAGGAGGCGACGACGAAGACGCAGCAGCACGAGGGCTGGGCCTCCCCGTTCGCCGCGCGCGAGCGCGGGGAGGCGAGGGGAGGCAATGATTGGGCCGGAGGGGGAGGAGGAGAGGAGGGAGGGAGAGGGAGGGGGAGGGGGGTGGAGGGGGAGAGAGGGGAGAGATGGAGGATCAGGGGGAGGAGGAAGCACGAAGTGGAGGACAGGCAAGAGGAGTGGTAGGAGAAAGGGGGGATGAGCTGCAAAGGGAGAAGGATGAACTACAGAAGGAAGGGTAAGATGACGACGGACGAGGATGCGGAGGAGGAGAGGAGGAAGAGGATTGGTAGGGGAATATTATGAGGGAAGAGCGGGGGAGTGTGGGGGCTGATGATAACGAGGATTGGCACGAGGGGGGCGGGGGAAAAGGAGCCACTGACAGCAAGAGAGGGAATGGCAGGAGGGGTGAGGAGGAATAGCAAGGTGGAACACACTGGCACTGGCAGGAGGGGCCGAGGGGGAAAGGAGGGCGGACGTCTGGAGGATCGGCAGGAGAAGGACGAGATGGGGCGGGCGAGGACGAGGAGGCGAAAGAGGAGCGCTGGAGTGTCGAGGGGGGAGGGGGGAGGGAGGGCGAGGCGAGGAGCGAGAAGTGGACGGCGCGAGAGGAATCTCTCTCTGCTAGTCCCCGCTCTCTCCTCGCTGCGCCCCTCTCTTGCCTGCCCCCCTGCGCCCGCCCTCCCTCCTCCCCCTCGGACCTGGAAGTTCTTCGGGCGTCTCTGGACTTGACGTCCTCAGAACCCAGCAGTGTTCTGAGAACAAAAACAATGTTCTTAGAATATGAACCCGATGTGTTAAAACAAGACAGACTCCGCCAGAAACGTTCTGAGACCATTCGTGCAAACCGCAAAAGGTTCTTAGTCAACTGTTTGGTAGGCCTATAGGCGAGACAGGGCGCTTCGCCACTGCTTGATGGACGGCGTCCAGGCGCCCCATGAGGTCCACCTCGATCATTCGATCCTCCTCGTGTTGTTCCTCCCTGCCACCCCCCTCCCCATCCAGACATCTGACGCCGATCTCTCTTCAGCATGATACAGTCGGACCACGGCCAGAAGAACGTCCTTCCAGAACGTGCGGCCCTCCGCCGGCCAACACACGCAGAGCATCCAAGGGCACCCTCCCTAGCATGCAACCAGAGCATCCAACGCGCACGAAGAACATCAGGGCACCCTCCCCGACCCTACCTCGATGTCATGCCTCGGTCCGACCGTATTCCGCGCCCCTCGACGAATCCCACCAGCCCTCTGGGCGTCGGTGGTTTAGGGAGTTTCCTCTTCCACCCCTCCTTCTTCCCCTTCGGGGAGGGGTTTACCCCTCCCCCTACCCCCTCCCTTACCCCCCACCTCGATGTCGTGCCTCGGTCCGACCTTATCCCGCGCCCCTCGCCAAATTTCTGGGGCACACTTTTTCGTGAATCCCGCAGCGCTCCCTGCCAGCCCCCCACGCGGCCTCCAGGCGCACAGAGCGCTGCTGTGATCTCCCACCCCCTTGCCCTCGCTCGGACGCCCCTTCCCCGTGCATGCTTCGGCGTCGTGCGACTGTTTTTGCCGCGATAGGATGCAAGATGCTCCCCGTCCCCGCCGAGAGCACCGCACACGTCCGAGCGACGACAAGGCCCAAGACCCTCGGCGTCCTTTGTTGTTTGCAGCGTAGACCCCTGGAGGTCTCGACAAGACTTCCACGGGGCCCGCTCTTTGTCTCAAGCTGCTTTCGTCGACGGCGCCTCACCCTCGCGGCCGCATCCTCCTTTCTACGACCGACCCTCAACGAATGAAACAAACACGCGATGCACGAACTCCCTCGGAGGCGTCAGCCCGGGCAGAAATGTCGAGCATCATTGCCCCAACGATGCAGCGAACGCTGGAAGCCTATGACTGACCTGGCTGGCGTGCACCACCACCTCCTCCTCCCCCCCGGCCCCGCGCGCGCCTCCCGTGCTCACGTTGCGGGCCCCGAGGTGGCTCGGCGCTCGCCAGCGCCGCGCCAGGAGGCAAGCTGCTGCTGACGGCACCAGGGCCCGGCAGGGGCCCACCCGCGGAGGCCGAGAGCAGCCGCGGAAACTCCCGCCGCGTCTTTCTCTTTGCTGCTCTGGCGCCGCGACCAGGTCTGGGCTGATTCGCGGCCGCAGAACCGTGTGGCGACCGACCGCGTGGTGCCCTCGGAATCCCCGGCGACCTCACCGCGCGGTCCGCCACCACACGCTGAGGGGACCCTGGAGGCCCCAGTCCCCCAGGACGCCCTTGGAACACGACCTCGAACCCGCACTGACCCACCGCGCGGCGTGATCACCACACCGTTGGGAGGCCCTCGAGCTGATGATGCCATATGCCCAGACGCTGGAGCTGTGCGCAGGCCTCCGTCGCACTCGGGAGCGGCGGGGGGCCCCGAGGCCCCCACCACGGCAGAGGAGCGGCAGAGGTCCATGCCTCCGGAACCCTCCGCCGCCTCGAGGGCCCCATGCGCGCGCGTGTGGAATTGCACGCTTCCCCCCCCCAAAAAAAAGAGTGGCAGCGCCGCTCAAGCGGCGTGCGCAGTGTCCAAGAGCTGCGCGTCCAGGCAGATCATGCCCTGCGCGTCCGGAGTACTGAGCTTCCCTTGTCATCGGCGGCAACCTGCTCATGTTGAAACAGGGATAGACCTCAAAGGCGGGTGCCCGAAATTGAACTGGACAGCGCGAAGCTACTAACAGTCAGGGAGATCATGTCGGATAGTATCACGCTACAGATGTCAGAAAGCAGAACATGTGTTCAAGCAATGGCCGCTATCATATTCGTCATCATACTTTTTTGTATTAGAGACTGCTTGGGCATGAAGCCTGAACGGTCAGCTGGATGTTGACGTCTTGTGCTGCGGCGGCGGCCCTGGCCACACGCTGTGCCGCATGCCCTGCAAGCGGATAGTGTGTCGATCGATCCGCTCAGCGTGGCAAGAGGCTGGGAAAAGCTCGCGACGCTGATGACTCTTGAGGACTGGGGCGTGGTTGGCGAAGCGTGCTGGGGCCAGATCCGACGGCGCGACACGCAAAGCAAGCGCTCCGGAGCGTTACGCAGCATAGGCGCATATCGGTTGATGCGACCATGGGCGTCCCATTCGGATGCATGCAACAGCGCAAGCTTCCTTCAGGGACCGCGGGAGCCAGCAGGGGTGGCATTGGAGCCGTCAGGAACGACCAGTCAATGAATGCTCTACGACGGGTCGGGATGATGATGACGAGAACTACGGGTGTGTCTACTTGGGTACCAGGAGCCGCAGGAAAGATGCGATGTAAAGCAAGACCAAGTGGAAGCGACACTTGCAGGCGTACCAGTTCTGGCAAGGCCCGATGCATGCGGGGGACTTCAAGGGAGCTGTAGACGAACGTGTATGATGAATTGGAATTTGGGGTGCGGTATGAAAGACGACAAGGGCCAAGGAAGTGTGAAGAACTGTGGCAGCTTTCTGGCAGCAGTTCTAGTGGCGATAGGCTGGGTTGCGGTGGCCAGCTGCGCTATGAAAATGGTTTTAGATGTCAGGCAAACGCTGTTTTTTTGTTTGAGGGTACATGGCAGCAAACAGAAGGCAGCGAATTCAATACTACGGGGGGGGGGGGCGGGAGGACAAATAGGATGACAAGTGGGCTTATTGCTCATTGGTGAGGGCAAGCGCAATGATGCGCGTCTGGCGGACCAGGCGGAACTGCCGCGCCTGCGACGAGCGGTTCGCACGGCGAGCCAGACGCACGTATCGCACCCGAAATGTTGTTTCCATCGTCGAGGGGGGTGCGTTGAAGCCTGTCGCCGGCTTTTCAAACTTGACAGAAATATGCGCACACACTGCCGCATTTTTGTCGAACGCGCTCGGGCCCGGCTTTGGATATCGAGCCCAGCCTTGGCTACCCACCGCACCACCGCAACCTGAACCGATGCCCACATGTGTTTGTCAATGTTCCCCGACGCGCCCCCCCCACTGGGAAAGGAGGGCAACTTGGGGCCTCCTAGCTGGGCTGGGGTGTTTGGGTGGTTGGTGCGATCACCCAAGAACAAAATGGGCACACTCTGGGCACCAGGCCAGGGCCGCAGCATGGCAGAGCCCAGGATCCATTCTCCGCGCGCTGTCTAGCACGTCCCCGGACTCCCCCGTGGCGCTGCGCCGGAGACGGCGCAGACGCCCACAACCTGGCCAACACGACCCCGATGCGTGCCACCTGGGGGCGGAAGGCGACAGCTGGGGATCTCTTCTTCCTCGCGAACGTTTGGGCGTCGTGGCCCTACGCGCGGCGACAGGGTGGAGAAGGCCGTCAAGCAGCGAACGCGCGCGCGCGACTAGGAACGGCGCTGGGCCTCTAGTTCGTGCGCGTGCCGTTCGCATCACGAGCCGAGTTCAGACAGAGCGGAGTAGAGGCAAGCATGCGAATGCTGGGGAGGGGCTTAGTGAGCTCCGGAAACGGCAAGGATGTTTTTGTTCACCGCTTCCAAAACATCCCCTGATAATAGAAACGGCAACAAAAAACAACTGGAAACGGCAAAACAGCAACTCCGGAATTGGAACAGCAAACAGGAAACCTGAAGGACAGCGGCGACGGCACTGGCAACAAAAAACGGCGTCGGAGCCGGCAAAAAAACCGGCAAGACACGGGACCAAGAACAACGCCGCTTCCAAGGCGCACCTCCATCCAAGGGGGGGGGTCCGGCTCCGCCCCCCCCCTCCAAGCGACCACAGAACGCGCTCTTTCGCATGTATGTATGTATGTATGTATGTATGTATGTCTGTATATATGTAGGAGGGGGAGCGCGCGCGCGCGCTCCGCAGAGCGCGGGGTCCTGCCGCCTGCTGCATGCTGTACGCGGCGGGGTAGCCCGCGAACTGCTGCTGTGCAGCCTGGCGCCGCGCGCGGGCGCCGCGAGAGCGGGGCCGTGGCCGAGAGGCCCCCGCCCTCGGGGCCCCCGCCGTGGCCCCTCCTCGTGCTGCTTCCCCTCTCGCCTCCGCCTCGTCCTCCTTCGCCTCCTCCTCCTCCTCCTCCCCCTCCTCCTCCTCCTCCTCCTCGTCCTCCTCCTTCTCCTCCGCCTCCTCGTCCGCCAACCCCTCCACCCCCCCTTCTCACCCAGCTCGGGCCGCCCCCTCGTCCCCATCTTCTCTCCGCCGCGCCGCCTCTCCTCAGAATCCGCACCCAGTGCCACTCGTCCTCCTCCGCATCGCCCGCACCTGTCTTGACATCGCCCGCTTCCTGCTCGCCCGCCCTCCTGCTCCTCCTGTCGCTCGCGCACAGTCTGCTCCGCCTCATCGCTTGCGTCGTCTGAACACCTGGTGGGCACCGCGCTTCCGGGCACGGGTGACCTCGTTCCCGTACGGGCACTTGTTCCCATCTCTTTCATACTTCTCCAGTCCCGTCCCCTTACTCCTCCGACTCTCCCCCACCTCAGCATCAACGTAGTCGTGATCACCAATGTTAGCCTCATGGGTATCACCATGGGCATAATTAGTCTGTCAGAAACATACATCAATCGTACAGTCAGCACCATGCCCGCCACCAGTATACAAAGCCATCGGCGTCATCACCACTAGCAGCTCCCTCATCGTTATCGTCATCGCCATTGTCATTGGCATCATAATCATTATCACCATCCTCATCATCATCAGCAGCATCATCCGTAGCATCATCATCAACAATATGATCCACCTCAACAACATCACTATCAACATCAACACAACAAGCAACTGGCAACAACAACATCGACATCAACAGCAACATCATCATCGGCATCATCATCATCAACATCACAAACAGTATTATCATCATGCCACATATGTCCCTCTTCTTCGTCGTCCCTCCCCCCTGCTCCTTCTCCAAATATCGCCTGGCCCTCGTCCTCAACCTCCACGTCCTCCCTCCTACCCACTTCTGTTGTATACGCCCCGTCCCTCCCTCCCTCCCTCCCGCCTCATCTTCCTCTTCAAAGGCCACTGAACCACAAGAACGGGTCACTAACTAGAAGTACCTTCTGCAACAACCCCCTGCTCAGGCCTATCCTTCCTCCTCGTTGCAAGGCTAGGTTTCCTCCTCCCTCTCCTCTACCTACTCCTCGTCCTCATCCTCATCCTCCACCTCCTCTGCCTCCTCTACCTCCTCTACCTCTACATCCTCTACCTCCTCTACCTCCGTGTTCCCTTTCCTCTACATCCTCCTCTTTCTCCTCATTATCCCCCTCCTCCTCAATATCCTCCCTCTTCCTCTCCCAACTCCCTCCTCCCTCCTGCCCTCCCTCCGTTCCTGCTCCCTGCGCCTCCTCTCATCCTCCCCCTGCTCCCAAGTCATCGTTCCTCCTCCTTCTCCTCCTCCTCCTTCTCATTCTCCTCCTCCTCCTCCTCCTCCTCCTCGTCCTCCCCCTACTTCTCCTCCAACCTCCTCCCACTTCTGTCATCGTCGTCCGCCTCCTGCTCCTCCTCCTCGCCTCCTCGCCCCGCGCCTCCTCGCTCCTCGCTTCCTCGCCCCTCGCCGCCTCGCCCTCCACGTCCCCGTCCTCACTCTCCCCCGTCCTCCCCTCCCCATCGTCCTCCTGCTCCTCCTCCTCCTCGCCCTCTGCCTCGCCCTCAGCCTCGTTCTCGTACTCTGCTGCCCCTCCTCCCTTGGGCTGCCCTTATTCCCATCGTCCAGCCTGGCGTCCACCGTCACCCTCCTTACCCGAAAAAACTTTGAAGCTGTGTGCCTACGGCTTGTTTGATACATCTTTTTTGCTGCCTTATCTCCGCTCTCGTCAATTCCCGATTTGCTCCAAGTCTTCTCTTCTCGCATCTCAATCGATGTCCCCCTCCTTGATCCGCAACCGTTTCAACATTACCCCCTCCGCCGTGAGAAATCCGGGCGAACCCTTGCTCGATAAAGCATTTTCCCCGCAGGTCATGGGCCGATGGTTGCGCAGACGGCGATGTCGGGTTCATGTTCGATTGTCGTCGCAAGTCGACTGAACCGTGTCTCTGTTTACCCTATGGGTTGTGCGACAGATGCGATACGGAGTGGGATGGGCAAGTGCTTGACAATCAAGCAACGTGCAGTGCGTGTACAAAGGTGCGGAGTCATACAACGTAGCCCGCCAACTGAGAGTAGGTGACATCGTGCAAGTTCAGAGCTCAGCGATTGCAGGACGTTATCATATGCTCCGTCTTTGCGAAGTGGGGCTGTTCAGGCAGACCACGTGCTCCATGTGAACGTCACCACTTTTGAACAAGGAAAATCTCTGATACTGCGCGTCTCCTAGGCAGCAATCTTCGAGACCGCATTGTCCAACAAGGTACTCAAACGGGTTTACCCTGGTGATGCATTGCTTTCGAGTGGGAAACACGCCAATGCGACCGGATACCACATGGTAGGTGTTGCTGCCTATGTGCAGGTCGGCCCCGCGTAGACTTGGTGAAGCGTTAACAGGCCACACGACTATCGATGCCAAGTCTTGGATGGAGGCGCGTGCTTGCAAGGAACAGCCCGAGGCCAAGCGCCACAAGACAACTGGCATCGTTCGGAGGGTCGTCGGCCACGCCAGAGGCGTTGAGGCAGCCGCGTCGCACCAAGCTCTTGCTCCTGCCGACGGCGCGGCAGACTTTCAGGTGGCAATTCCGCGCGTGGTCTGGGAGAGCGACCAAACCCGCGCAGTGGACATGCTAGCAGAGGTTCAAGCGTTGTTGCCAAGGTCTGATACATGGAAACTGGTTGAAGGAGACCAAGGGAGGGCTCGAACTTTTGGAAGAAGCTACAATCAAGGACGCGCTCGCAGGTCTAGCAATCAACAAAGAACTTGTGACTGGCTCCGTCACGGCCTGCAAAACAACCCTTCGCGACAACCTGTTCTGTTTGCTCAATGACGGGATTCGTTTTCGCAGCCGCGACGGTGAGTTGCATGAGCACAAAACTTGCGGAGAATGTGTGAACAGAAAGGCATGCTCAATCGAAATGCGCCCAATATTTAAGGTCGTGGAGGAGATATTCTACCAGCTCGGGGAGAAGTTGCAAGAAGGGAGATCATGTTTCGAGTGGGAGGCAATTGAGCCTGAGCTACATGCCGTCCTCGAGCAAGCTCTTCTTCTGGGGTCAGGCCCCATTCAGTTTCAGCCAGGGTGCGAGCAATTTGCGTAATCCAAACGGGTCTCCAATCGGAGGGCGATAAGGACGACTGAGGACGACTCTTGGGGCGCAGGTCAACAAGTTCGGTGGCCGTACCGATGTCGGATTCAGGGCAAAAGGCACAGGCAAGGACTAACAGGAACAAGCCCAGCGCAAGCAAGCGTTCGGTCAGTCGTGCGTCCAAGCGACGGGCTGCGTCGGGGGGGCCGCCGATCTTACGGAGCACCTCTCTCCTGTGCCATGTTGATATCCCACTAGATCGGATTGTTTCATGTTCCCTGCATGCTCCTCTGGCCGTGAAGGCCAACATTGAACAGGATGGGGGTTTTCCCGTGACAGGTATTGCCCGGCTGTTTGTTCGCAGCTTAGTTGGTACATCCTGTCGTCAATGCGCGGTGCCACGATACTTTGCAAGCAAGCGGGCAAACATGTTATGTTAACGAAATTGTCTCATTTCGCTCCCTCACTTACCCTCACACGGAGACGGTGCAAAGGACGAGGAGAATGAGGAACGCCGAAACACAAGCCTGGGAGGTGAGAGACTTGGCAGGCTTGGGGGGCTTGAGAGGCTAGGGAGGACGATCTGGAAGGCTTGGGGGGGGATTGGGATGGTGATATGGGAGGCCTGGGGGACTTGGGAGGCTTCGAAATCTTGGGGGGCTCAGGAGACTTGGCAGACTTGGTAGACTTGAGAGGCTTGGGAGACTTGGGAGGCTTGGTAGACTTGAGAGACATTGGAGACTTGGGAGGGCTTGTAAGGACCTGGGAGACTTGGGAGAGTTTGGCGACTTGGAAGGGCTGGGGAGGGCCTGGGAGGATTGGGAGACTTGGGAGACTTGGACACTTGGGAGTCTCTCAAGTCTCCAAGTCTCCCAAGTCTCCGCAGCCTCCCAAGTCTCCCAAGTCTCCGCAGCCTCCCAAGCCTCCCAGGCCCTGCCCGGCCTTCCCCGGCCCTCCCAGGTCTCCCAACTCTCCCAAGTATCCGAAACCTTTCTAGTCTCCCACGCCTGGCCAAGCCTCCCAGGCCCTCCCAGGCCCTCCCAAGTCTCCGAAGCCTGCCGCCCTCCCCCAGGTCCCAAGACGACGAATCGACACATGTTTGATCTGCGGTGCGAGAGCGAACCTCTTCCGCTAAAAGCTAGGCGGGCTACGCACAGCTGGGCACAGGAAGGCGGGGCCTCAGGCGGCTCAACGAATCAACACAGTCGTATGCGGTCGAAGTACAATGACATGTTCGACGCGCCTTTGCTTCAGAAAAGTCGCCCTCAAGGGCAGGCGAAAAGCCGTAGGGAAACACAGCTTCCCTTACTGCACCCGAAGGCGGCAGCGACATCCAGGACAGCCTCCCGAGCCGACGATCTACGGAAGCCCCTGGCGGCCAAAAAAGGTCAAGAACCGCCCAAACAACTCGACACTCGAACTTCAATCCGTACCGACAAGAACAATGACTAATCATGGGCTATGGGCGCCGATGACCACGACGACGACAACGACCACGACGACTATCACGAACTGGACAGTGACTTCGATGGAGACGGCGACAACGGCGACGACGACGAGGACGAAGACGAGGGCGACACCGACGACCCTAGATCGCGAAATCCAATCAACAATCTGTCCTCGCACACCCCTGGGGTCCATCCTGGGCCGCCCTGTACCGATCCTTCGCGGCCCCGGTTCTCCAACGATGCCCCCGAAGACCCCAAAAGACGAACATCTAATCAGTCACAGAAGCCATACTACGACGACGGATATAGGAAGCACGACGACAATAGACGACGATGATGGACGACGGGCGACGGACAACCACGACGAAGGACGACGACGACGATCACGACGAGGACGCCAGACGATGAAGGAGAGACGAGGGACGACAACGGACGACGACGGACGACGACGGACGACGACGACGATCACGACGGACGACGACGACGACGATCTCGACGACCACGACGACGACGACGACGACGACGATCTCGACGAGAACGACGACGACGACGACGACGACCGACGGCGATGGCGGCGGCGGGCGCCTGGGCCGCCCAGGGCTGCCCCGCGTAGCCGGCCTGGCCGTAGGGCCACTGCGCCTGGCCGTAGGGCACCTGCGCCTGGGGGTAGAACATCGTCTGGGCTGGGTAGGCGGGCTGCGCCTCTCGGGTCAGGGCGCGCGGAGGGGGGGAGGCTGGAGGGCGATATCGCCGCCGCCGGCGGCATTGTCGGGGAGGACGGGGGGGGGGAGGAGGGAGAGGAGGAATGGGGAGGAAGGGGAGCAAGGGGAGGAAGGGGAGGGACGGAGGGAGGGAGCGGGGGAGGCAGGGAGGGAGGGAGGGAGGGAGGGGTACGGCCGACCAGGAGGGGATACCGGTATCCGACCTCATACCCTTCTCTTTCTTTCATATCATCTTGTGACCTTCCAGGGCCCTCCTCCCTCCTTCTCCTCTCACTCCACTTCCTTCTCCTCCTCCTCCCCCCTCTCCTCCTGCCTCTCCCTGCTCCTGCTCCTCCTCCTCCTCCTGCCTCTCACTGTCACTGCTCCTGCTCCTCCTCCTCCTTCCTCCTCCTCCCCCCCTTCGCCTCCCCCTCCTTTTCTTCCTTCAGCCTGGTTTTCGGGGTCTCCAGACCTTGGGATTTTTAAAAATTTTAAAAATTTTAAAAATTTAAAACACTTTTGAATTTTTAAAATTTTTAAAAATTTAAAAGTTTGGGGGGTCCGGAGTTTCTGGGGGGTCCTGGCCGCCTGGTTTGCGGATTTCCCAGGCCCTGGGATGTTTAGAAATTTTAAAAAAAATTTTAAAAATTTAAAACACTTTTGAATTTTTAAAATTTTTAAAATTTTTAAAAATTTAAAAGTTTGGGAGGTCCGGAGTTTCTGGGGGTCCTGGCCGCCTGGTTTGCGGATTTCCCAGGCCCTGGGATGTTTAGAAATTTTAAAAATTTTAAAAATTTTAAAAATTTAAAACACTTTTGAATTTTTAAAATTTTTAAAATTTAAAAGTTTGGGAGGTCCGGAGTTTCTGGGGGGTCCTGGCCGCCTGGTTTGCGGATTTCCCAGGCCCTGGGATGTTTAGAAATTTTAAAAATTTTAAAAATTTTAAAAATTTAAAACACTTTTGAATTTTTAAAATTTTTAAAATTTTTAAAAATTTAAAAGTTTGGGAGGTCCGGAGTTTCTGGGGGGTCCTGGCCGCCTGGTTTGCAGATTTCCCAGGCGACTCCCCCCCAGGCGTGTAACGGTGCAGTTTAACAGAAACGGTCTTCAAGATTTTCTGCTACCTCTGGGAGGTTGGATTGGACCCCGACTCCGAACCCAACGCCGACGACGCCGCCGCCGCCGACGACGACGACGGCGGCGGCGGCAGCGGCGGCGACGGTGGTGGCGGCGGAGGCGGCAGCGGCGGCGGCGACGACGACGACGACTACGGTCGATCGCCGGCGGTGTCCGATTCGTCCCGCGTGGCCCGGACCGCCACCGGGGACTCGAGCTGCGACCGGAAGGGCCGCTACCGGAAGGTGCGCTGTCGGCACCCCGCGGGCCGCTACCACCTCTCGTCGTCGCCGCCGCCGCCGTCGTGGTCGTCGTCGTCGTCGTCGTCGCCGTCATCGTCGTCGTCGTCGTCGCCGCCGCCACCGCCGTCGTCGTCGTTGCGGTCGTCGTCGTTGTGGATGTCGTCGTCGTGGTCGTCGTCGTCGTCGTCGTCGTCGTCGTCGTCGCGGTCGTCGTCGGCGGCGCCGTCGTCGTCGTTGCGGTCGTCGTCGTTGCGGATGTCGTCGTCGTCGTCGTCGTCGTCGTCGTCGTCGTCGTCGTCGTCGTCGTCGTCGTCGTCGTCGTCGGCGGCGCCGTCGTCGTCGTTGCGGTCGTCGTCGTTGCGGATGTCGTCGTCGTCGTCGTCGTCGTCGTCGTCGTCGTCGTCGTCGTCGAGGTCGTCGGCGGCGTCGTCGTCGGCGGCGGCGGTGGCGGCGACGGCGGCGCCGTCGGCGGCGGCGGTGGCGGCGACGACGGCGGCGTCGTCGTCGGCGGCGGCGGCGACGGCGACGACGACGACCACGACCACGACGACAACGACGACGGCAGGGCTCTCGGGAGAGGCATTTTAGATAGGGCGATCCCTATAAAACGGAGGGCATTTTCGATAGACCGGTCTCCCTAAAACGGGATGGAATTTTAGGGGGACCGGTCCCCCTAAAACCGGATGGAATTTTAGGGGGACCGGTTCCCCTAAAAATGGCCCCTATTTTAGGGTGACCGCCACCCTCGGCTGATGGCTCGAAATGTCCGTTCGGGCGCCCCGTATAGGCACACTCTTGGAGTCAGCTTGGGGAGCCTCTTAGGCCGTTTTGGAGGCGGCATGGGCCGTCTTGGGGCCTTCTTTGGCCGTCTCAGAACCATCGTTGAGACCTCTTGAGCCGTCTTGGAGCGATCTCGGGGGTGCATCTTGAGGTGTTTTGCAGGCCTCTTGGGAGAGGCATTTTAGAGATAGAGATCCCTATAAAACGGGGGGGGGGGGGGCATTTTCGATGGACCGGTCTCCCTAAAACGGGATGGGATTTTAGGGGGACCGGTCTCCCTAAAACGGGATGGGATTTTAGGGGGACCGGTCCCCCTAAAACCGGATGGGATTTTAGGGGGACCGGTCCCCCTAAAAATGGCCCTTATTTTAGGGTGACCGTCATCCTGGGCTGAGGGCTCGAAATGTCGGTTCGGGCGCCCCGTCTGGGCACACTCTTGGAGTCGGCTTGGGGAGCCTCTTAGGCCGTTTTGGAGGAGGCGGCATGGGCCGTCTTGGGGCCTTCTTTGGCCGTCTCAGAACCATCGTTGAGACCTCTTGAGCCGTCTTGGAGCGATCTTGGGGGTACCTCTTGAGGTGTTTTGCAGGTTTCTCGGGAGAGGCATTTTAGATAGGGCGATCCCTATAAAACGGAGGGCATTTTCGATGGACCGGTCTCCCTAAAACGGGATGGGATTTTAGGGGGACCGGTCCCCCTAAAATCGGATGGGATTTTAGGGGGACCGGTCCCCCTAAAAATGGCCCCTATTTTAGGGTGACCGCCACCCTCGGCTGATGGCTCGAAATGTCCGTTCGGGCGCCCCGTCTAGGCACAATCTTGGAGTCGGCTTGGGGACCTCTCAGGCCGTTTTGGAGGCGGCATGGGCCGCCTTGGGGCCTTCTTTGGCCGTCTCGGAACCATCCTTGAGACCTCTTGAGCCGTCTTGGAGCGATCTTGGGGGTGCATCTTGAGGTGTTTTGCAGGCCTCTTGGGAGAGGCATTTTAGAGATAGAGATCCTTATAAAACGGAGGGGGCATTTTCGATGGACCGGTCTCCCTAAAACGGGATGGGATTTTAGGGGGACCGGTCTCCCTAAAACCGGATGGGATTTTAGGGAGACCGGTCCCCCCAAAAATGGCCCCTATTTTAGGGTGACCGCCACCGTGGGCTGAGGGCTCGAAATGTCCGTTCGGGCGCCCCGTCTGGGCACACTCTTGGAGTCGGCTTGGGGAACCTCTTAGGCCGTTTTGGAGGAGGCGGCATGGGCCGTCTTGGGACCTTCTTTGGCCGTCTCGAAACCATCTTTGAGACCTCTTGAGCCGTCTTGGAGCGATCTTGGGGGTATCTCTTGAGGTGTTTTGCAGGCCTCTCGGGAGAGGCATTGTAGAGATAGAGATCCTTATAAAACGGAGGGCATTTTCGATGGACCGGTCTCCCTAAAACTGGATTGGATTTTAGGGGGACCGGTCTCCCTAAAACGGGATGGGATTTTAGGGCGTCGCCCGACGGAGGGGGGGGCAGCCGAGATGGCCACTGCCCTGCACTGGAGGGGCATGTGCAGAGGGTGAGTGGCTGAGCAGGCCAATACGCGGGATTGAGAGCTTGAGCATATGTTCATACTGTTTCGCCTCGCGATCGTCATGGGTAAAACAGAGCTGCCTCTCTTCAAACGCAATCCACTTTCTAGCTGTAGGTCGGACCCCAAGGGGCCGATCGGACAGTTTTCACAACTCTTGGACAATGGACATCACACTTGTTTCGACCCCCGCTTGTGGCTAAGAAAGCCCCGATAGGGTCCAGGAATTGATCCCAAGATGACCCCGATAACGTCTTCAATCCACAAAGAAGGTGCTCAAGAGACCCCCTGAGGGCCCAAAGAGGTTCCCATGATGTCTAAAACGGCTCCAAGAGATTACGCGCGCGCTGTTGTTGTTTCTGTCGGTATGCGCGTCGTACATTCGTAGTTGTATCATGTGTACTGGTATTTGTCATGATGCCTATACTATGTTTCTACATGTCTCTGTATATCTGCATAACACATACACATATATGCCATCTGTTTTCTATGACCATGTATGTATGTATTTCTATGAATATATACATATATATATATGAATATATATCTATATTAATATATATATATTAATATATATATGTATATATATATTAATATATATATATAGTATATATAAAATATATGGTATATTGTTTATGTGTGTATTACGACGGATCAACCTTACGAAGTTTAAGAACAAATCATTATGTCCTGCCCCGAAACGGTCCTGGGGGGGGGGGGCGGACGCGGCCATATGCCAACCAAATAAGTGAACCAAGCCCTGCGCTCTCGGAGGGTCTTCGGTTCACTTATTTTCGGTACCCAGAAGTCCCAGGGATCTGCCCCAAACAGCCCAAGACAGCCGCGGGGAGCCCCAAGAGAGGGCCTCGTGGCGCCCCGAGACGGCCAGGATGTCCACGGAGACCGCAGGAGGCCACAGGGGTTTCCAGAACATCCCAGAAGGCCCCAGGATATCTCAGTAGGTTACAGGAGGTACCAGGATATCACAAGAAGCCCCAGAAGGCCCCAGGAGGCTCCATAATGCATCAGGAGGTCCCAAGCGGGTCCAGACGGTCCTATGAGGCACCAGGAAGTTTCAGGAAACCTCAGGAGGTACCAGGGGCTCCAGAAGGCATCAGGATGCCCCATGGGATCCAGAAGGCCTCAGGATGCCCCATGTGTTCCAGAAGGCTTCAGGGGGCCCCATGGGCTCCAAAAGGCCTCAGGGGGCCCCATGGGCTCCAGGAGGCCTCCAGGAGGCCTCAGGAGGCCCATCCGGGGGGATACCCGTATCCCCTCCTGGTCGGCCCGACGGGAGGGAGGGAGGG